TCTCCGATTGAGTCAAAGCGAACACTCTCCCTTGATTGGCGCCGCCTGGGGCCTGAGCTGCTAACGGTCTCTATTGTAGTGGCTTCGGTGGTGGGGGCTTTTTTGCTTGATTGATCTTTGGTGGCAACGATGGGCAGTTATTTTTGAAGTGCCTGACACCTCCACATGAGAAGCATTGACGTGGGTCAGTGCTTGCTCTATTCTGCGTAACCCCATCTCCTCGAACTGTTTAAGGTCTATGTCCAGTCATCTGGTTTGGGCAACGGTATGGTGTCTCTCTCTTCCCTCTACTGCTGCTAGCATCGGTCCGGATCGGACCTCCCTTCATGAAATTCTGGTGCCGCCGATTGTCCTTCGTGTCTCTCTCCACCAATGCAGCTCTATCCACAAGATCTCCATAGTCCCGAATCTTGTGAGCCACAAGCTTCTACCGGATAGCAGGCCTCAAGCCCTATTCAAAGCGTTTTGCCCTCTTGGCCTCGGTGGATATGAACTCCGTGGCATAATGGGATAGCTTGTCAAACTTCCTCTCAGACTCGGCTACTGTCATGCTACCCTGTCGGAGAGCTAGAAAATTGGCACTCATCTTGTCCCTGACGGATTTAGAAAAATATTTGTCCTGGAAGATTTGATCAAATTCCTCCCATGTAAGAGCATCCGTGTTCCTCCTTCTCTTCACTGAATCCCACCAATGATATGCCTCCCCCTCTAACAGGTATGTAGCCAAGCCAACTCGTAAATCCTCAGTAACTCCCATTCCATCACACATCTCCTTGATCCGGTGAATCCACTTATCCGCATCCAAGGGGTTAGAGCTTCCTTGAAAAGTAGGTCGGTGTTGCCGAAAGAATTCCTGAAGAACTACCATCCTTTGATTTTAATTCCCCTTGCCTGGGACTTGAGCTAATGGATGAACCCCACCGTTGTGGTTATTTTTCCCATTCTGGTGTTGTACTAGAGTGGTTAGCTCTCGTAGGCATTGGTATATGTCGTTCATAGCATCGGGAGGTGGTGGGTTTGCTTGACCTCCATAACCACGCTCATATCCACGTCCACATCCATCGTCCATCCTGCACATTAATTCACAATTTAGTTTTCTTGATGTACAAGACATCCTAACTATCACTTTAATCTAAAGCATAAGATGTGTGTAAAATTTATATCAACAATTTTATTCAACCTTGTCCTAACCCTTTAGTGGTAAACCATAACCTACAGCTCCCATGTAAGACCTAAAGCCTATGCTCTGATACCAAAATTTTGTAATGCCCCGAAAACCACCTTGAACGGTATTACAATCTAAAATCATTCACATCATGAGAGCAACTAATAAAATTCATCATTTAAAAAAATTCTATTCATCAAATATAACATTTACAATATCATCCCAAAAGAATATGCCCAACATGGCCTTCGTATCTAAAAGAATACGATTAACTATGGCAATTACATCTAACAAAATAAACTTTGAAATTTTGTAGTGGAATAACAAAAGGTTAGACATTACATAGTCTCAAAAGAAATTTCCTAGTCTATTACATAGGAGAGTATAACCCAAAGCATCCACCTCAGGATCTATGTGCTCATCTAGTGAAACCTCCCAATGTACTAGCTCCTCGACTCCGAGCTCCTCCTCTTGTACAAAATCTGAAAAATTTATTGTTTGTAGAGGGTGAGCACTAAGCTCTGTAGCAACATCCTCCCAAATTTGAACAAGTTTTAGGAAAAGAATATAAAACAGTTCGGTCTCACTTTTCAAAATAACACATAATTTGAAAGGAAATAGTGACAATTTATTTGATCTCAAGTTAACTCACTAGCACTAGTTTAAATGAAAGGAATAAGCATGTCGAAGTATTAGAAATCGAACAATCATTCAATCATGTTATCCCATATTCTCATGTATGTTGGTTGCTTCTCATGAATCTACACCATGATTCTACCTCATTCACCCACCACAATCACACAATCCCAAACATTTTAGGAAGGGTGTATACCGTCTCTCACGGTATTGACAAATCCTTTCCAGGAAAGGTATACCAACCCTCAGCCTCGAACTTACGTGAACAATAGTGATTTTCTCACAAACAACAATCCACTACAAGTGTTAGGAAACCATCTCACCCCCACTAAGATAGACTAACCTCTAACACTCTACGGCAGTGCTCGAATACAATTTAGGTCCATCACAACAACCATACAAGAGATGCAATAACAAACATTTTCTCAAATCACAAGGAAATTCAAAATCCCCAAATTTCACAATTTGTATTACAAGGGGAAAATTTAAGAAAATAAACAAGAGATCATCAAAATCTATTTTTATTGTTCATTACAAAGCACTAAGGTTTTCAAATCAAGAACAAGGGAAAAATCGAGAGAAAAACCCCTTTCTCTTGGAAACTAGGGTTTTGAGTCAAGAAAAAGAGTTTTCATGGTTATTTAATCCTAGCTTTGTTTAAAACATGGTAATCTTTGCAAAAATAACAAGAAAGGATGATTTCATAGCATATATATCTAAATGAGAGTGAAAAACATACATATACGTATAAGCCCTAGCCTCAATGGTCAAGAATGGAAGGAACCCCTACCTTGGTGTTCTTGAAATATTAGGGCTTTGATCCAATCCAATGTGCAACTCCCCTTTGATCTTGTGTTTTTCCCTCTCTTTCTTCCTCTCTAAGGTTTCCTAGGGTTAGAGATGTTGAAATGGGGCTAAAGGAGTTGTCCTTAAGTATCTATAGTGGAAGGAAGGTCGGCTGTTCGCGACTTAAAATTTCAGATTTTTGGAAAACCTTTCGGAAGGTTTTCATTGACCTTCGAAAGGTTTTGCCTACTCGATAAACATTTACATTAACCTTCCGAAAGGTTTTGCTTACTGGATAAACATTTACATTAACCTTTTGAAAGGTTTTCCCTACTGGATAACCATTTACATTAACCTTCCAGAAGGTTTTGCCTACTGGATAACCATTTACATTAACCTTCCGGAAGGTTTTTCATCGACCTTTTGAAAGATTTTTCATCGACCTTCCGAAAGGTTTTGCCTATTGGATAAACATTTACATTAACCTTCCGAAAGATTTTTTCATCGACCTTTTGGATGGTTTTGCCTACTCGATAACCATTTACGTTAACCTTCCGGAAGATTTTTCATCGACTTTCCGGAAGGTTTTGCCTACTGGATAACCATTTACATTAACCTTCCAGAAGGTTTTGCCTATTTTTCGACAAATTCTTCCTTCTTCATTTCCAACCCATTCTAATCCGTTCCACAACCATCCAAAACCAACCCAAACTTATACAACATACATTTGTACATCAACATAGTTGATACAAGTTCTATTACCAAGGGTTTCATACATTTACTTGGGTTTTTACAATATTAGCATTTCTACGGTTATAACCTACATGGTTCATTCCTACACCATTACATAAATTAAAATTACTAACACTTTTATCATTATATTAATATCAACATGTGGGGGTTTACAAAACCCAATGACCCAAACCCTTGAATGCACAACTATGGATGATTATGAGATTCAAATATTCATTTATTCAAACATATAGTGTGCATGTGTGCTAATAAACACAAGTGTATATGTAGAAATAATAAATAACACAAGTGATTTGTTGATGCGGAAACCCTCGAAAAAACCACGGGTAACCTTCTTGTTTCACAAAAACCTAATCCATTATCCCAAAATTATGAGTCTTATTCCTCAACCAATAACATGGTTTGATGCTTCCTTCCTTCAATATGTTTCTCTACCAAAGTGCCTTTCTAACATTATGTGTATAGCTTCACTTGGATTCACCTTCGCAAAGGACCCTCTAGGCCTTTTGCGATCTTGGGTGCACCAACTATCCTCGGAATGGACACACCAATGGGTTTGGTTAAAAATATTAAAGATCTTCAACACCTAGTTGTGAGGTTGTGTAGAATCTCTAGAAGGTAGCCTTGGGTCTTAGGGATCTAGATTTGTGATGAAAGCTCTCTAGAGTATATGATAGAATTCTATCTCAAAAATTAGTCTAAAGGCTTACCATAGCAGTTGGAAGACACTCCCCATTCAAAGACTCAGAATAAGGACAATCTTGGTCAATAAAAAAATTTAAATTCGCAAACAACCACTAGATCAATGGGAGGGTAGTCATAGGGTGGTGGTCTTTGGAATGAAAATCAAGTTTTAAACCGACCTAGGAGAGCAGACAGCTAGAGAGACCCAAGAGGGCGATCCTTAATCTCCGCCTTTTGGCATTTTCCCTTATTTTCCACTACGTCACAAAGATATCGCTCTAACGAAGGTTAGGGAGTATAAGGTCGTGCCTACCAGTTCTTTAAGCATGAAACCAAGGAAAAAACTTGTCATCTTGAGTGCTAAAGGGTGTTGCTGAAGAGGGGTCCAATAATGACCCAAACTATGTTTTCAAAAACACAAAATGGTTTTAATTTTTTTTTTTTGAAAAACACCTAGGAGCTATAAACGGATTACTTTTAATTCCATTTAAACCTAATCCTCCTAATTTAGCTATCAAGTGATCATCTTAGGTATCTACTTCATTACCTTTGTCATAAACTTGAAGGTGCATTCGTAGTGTGAATGATGTAACTTTGACGCTTAATATCCTCCCCTCAATGACACTTTTAGATCTTCAATCTTTATAGCGTCGCGTCATGACTATATAATAGGTTGAGATTTATAATGTACTCCATGAACTTAGCCAACTACAAACATATATCGAACACTAACCTTTCCCCTTTATTGCCACCCAGTAGCCCTAGGTGATAGAAACCCTAGATTTAGGTGAACCCACTAATCGTAAACCCTAGATTTCAAAACTGAACACCTGGATGCATCCTACCAACACTTATTATTTCTGAGACAATGTACCATGTGTGATCACAAATAGATGATGAGTACCATAATATTGTTGTCCACTTTGTGGAATTCGTTGGCACCCTCTATGACCTAGACCTAACTAGGTATAGTTACATGGATTTGGTGAAGGAACTTGAAGATATATGGCTTGGTGATATGCAATCAATCAAAGTATTAGTTGCATTCACAATTGCTATTGATAGACATGATGGTAGTGGAAAAATTATTGTGGATGATGATAAGCAGTTATTAGAGTTTTTTTGGGATGTGAAAGTCTCACATGTCCTCCAGATTTAGGGGATGAGGGTGGAAATAATGCTAATGCGGAGATTGATATTCACAATGATAATGATGATCATGTTGATATTGAAGTTGAGGACTATGATTTAAATGAAGAGCAGACTCAACAACTGCATGTTTATGAAGTGGGTAGTGGGTCAAATACAATAGCAAATGATAAACTAGATATGATTGAGTTAGAACTAGCACCAAATGGGGAAGCAGAGATTGGGAATGAAAATGATGATGAAGTTGATGATAACGTGTATGGATTCAACTCTAAGGATTAAGAATGGAGGGTTAAGGGTGTTGATATACCTGATGCTAGATATGATAATCAGTATACAAGTCAAGATGATGGAAATAGTGTTTATTGATTCTCATATTATGAATCTAGTGTTCAGGGTGGTGCCATAAACACAAAAACTAACACTAATGGTGCTAAAGATGGGGATAGAAAAAGGAAAAAGGAAAAAGGAAAAAGGAAAAAGGAAAAGAGGAAGTCTAATGTATGTGATATATCTGAGCATGGGATTGAGTTATCTTGGAATGGTGGAAACGCAAGTTGAGTTGTTTTAGTAGAAATCTTGTTTGGAAATGTTGATTTATTTAGGGATGCATTGAGGCACTAAAACCCATAACTATATCATGCATAAGAAAGTTGAAGAGGCCAATTCACCTTGGATTGCAAATAAATTTTTGAGGGAGATCAAGAACAATAAAAAAAATGAACTTCCGGACATCACAATTTGAATTACAGCCAATCCAAGTCAGAATAGGGCAAAAAAGAATGCATTGCAACATATGAGAAAAAGTAGTGAAGTGAGAAAAAGTAATCATGGTTTAGTATTTGTAATTGATTATTTTAAGGCTTTAGTGATTTCTAATCCAATTTTTTAGAGATGTTTCATTTCATTTGCTGCTATGATATAGGGGTTTAAAGCAGGATGTAGAACATTTGTCTGTGTTGATGGAAGCCATCTAAAAAGACCTTGTGGTGGAGTTTTAGTGGTTATAGTCTTGATGGGAACAAATGATTGTTCCTTGTGCCCTAAAGAGTGGTTAAGACTGAAAGAACTGAGATCTGGGGATGGTTTTTGTATAATCTTTACAAAGTACTTGGAATAGAGGATACTTCAAGGTTTGGACTTTTATGTCAGAGAACTCGAAGGTGAATGGTTTTTTCTTTTGTTATTCCATATATTGATATTTCTATTAGGATTACCACATCCTCTTTTTTTATTGACATAATTTCATATATTGATGTTTTTTTCATTTACCATCAAGGTCTTGATAAGGTGTTTGAGAAAATGTTCCTCGGGGCCAAACACAAAAGATGATGTAGGCATTTGTTGAATAATATCAAGGCTAGGTGCTTGACTATTTCCGTCAACCCTAATCTCCGCACATCACCCTTAAATGTGTCTATGGATTTTGAGTGTAGGTGAGTGTCACTCTCCCTCGGAATGATTTGGGAAATGGGGCAAACGTGTGTGTGGGATGAAATGTGTATGTGTGTGAACAAAAGTGCTCCCCAAGCGCAAAGTGACTTTTGAGTGTCATGTTTTACTTAAAATTCGTATTCCAAGGTCGTCTCCTCAGCGAAGGATGGTGAAATGTGATGAAAGTGATTTTGGTGAAAAAAGAAAAGTGTAAAAATCTTTGATTTTTGAGGTTTGGTGAATTGTGTTCTTGATGAAAATGAGATGGAACAAGTGTTGGCTAATCTGAAGAGGTCATTCTAATGGGAATGCCGAATCAACTCAAGACCCTCCTCCAATGGTGCCTAGATGTTTGATTGAATCGTAGGAAGCAAGGGACAAAAAATGGAGGTGAGGATTCAAGTATACCCCATGACAAGTCTACGGTGTATCAAGAACTCAAAACCACATCCACACTCAACCTAGTCAAACCAAATCATCGTACACTATGAGGAGAAATGAAAATGAGTTGGTTTAGCATACCCAAGAGGAATTCTCCCTTGGATTAGCCAAATTAAAGCTTAACTACTCATATTTAATGCAAGAACATTAATGAAGTAAAGAGACATGGTGAAGAAATGAAGATTGGAGCTTAAATTAATGCAAGAAAAGTTAAACTATGAAGTAGTGCATTAAATACCAATTTTAAAGAGCTTGAGATGAAAAACTTAAATACAACAATGGTAGATTCTAAGATACTCAACTAAACTTGCAATGTACTATAATTAAATGACATTAAAGACAATAAATGAAGCTTACAAGTGTATTCAAGACGATTACAAGTGAAAATGGGTAACGAAAATGCAAAAATCTAACTTCTCTCACTAGAAACTATGTCTTCTACCTTGGAGCTTCTCTTTCTATAATGTAATACAATTTGAATAATATCTAAGAATGCCTGTATTTTCGTCCATGAAGCTTCCCTTAGGTGAGTGATAGACCTCCCATCCATAGGAAGCCGACTTGATGGCTTGGGCAGGCTAGGACAAGCCTAGCCTGCACCTCCCTTGCTTTGGCTCATCTCTCTCCTCCTCATTAATGACATTGCCTCCAAAGTCCAAGCATGGGTGTTGTGAGGTATGTAGATGTGTAAGGGATGTCAGGGAACAAGTGGGAGAAGTGTAGGTGGGGCCTCCAAATGGCAAAGCTTGAGTTGCAAGCTGTCTGGGTATTCTGGGCAAAACCTTCCAGAAGGTCGATGAAAACCTTTCGGAAGGTTTGTGCAGGAACAGTTAAAACGGCAGTCCAGTAAGCAAAACCTTCCGGAAGGTCGATGTAAACCTTTTAGAAGGTTCATTCCAGTAGACAAAACCTTCTGGAAGGTTTTGGCAGTGAATAGGCAGACCAACTTGAGTTTTGCTAGTCCCTAGCAAACTTTATTTCAAACCACAAGCTATGAACTAAAACAAAATCCATTCATACAAGTAAATATCCAAACACTCAAAATGAAAAAATTACATTGCAATTAAAAATAGACTTGGGCAATGATAAAAAGTAACAACTGTGGTATTTTTATTGATCATTTTCAAAAGTTCATTACACTGGGTTAGAGTTTCAAAACAAAATGGGCCAAAACCTGAAGATATTTCTACTAGGCCTACAAGACTAACCCTAACTGTGCATCCTCAAATCAAACAAAATCAATACAAAAGCTATCCTAATCATCGTCCTCATCAAAAGCATCCTCCTCCTCGGTCTCATCCTCGGACTCAGTCTCCTCATCCTAGTCATCGTCATCTCCCACCTCTGCAATAGTAGAAGGTATAGGAGCAGCGGTCAATGGTCCAACAGGAGGTGGTGGAGGTCCACCAGGGATGGGCTTACCCAGGAACGTATGCTGGAATAGTCGCGTCACCATAATCGACAGCCTGTGCGTAGTCAACTCTAGGGCATCCATACGCTACAACATGGTGCGGGCTAGCACAGGTGCAGGAGGTGCTAATGTGGATGGCCCTATAGTAGAGGTCTCTAGCCCCAAGGCTCTGGATCTCTCTCCCCCCGTCCTGGCTACCCTCTTGCTACTGCTTGACTTTCTGATGGCACCAGTCTCCGGGGGTAGCAGAGTATTGTGTGCATATAATTTCTCCTTGGCGTGAGAGCACAGACGGGTGATAAGACTCCTGAAGGGGAGATTCGCCTTCGGCTTTGCAGCCTAAGTGAATTCTCTCATCTCCTCAAAAATCAATAATGCTCCATAGATCGCCACCCCCGTCATGAATGTGTGGTGGAGGGCAAGCTTCTTGATGTTTGTGTTCTTCTCCAAACCCCAGGGCATCAAATTGTAATGCAATACTTTATTCATTATCCCATAGGCATGCTTGAGGCCCTCGACCAAAGTCATCCGCTAAAACATGGTCGGGTCCTCGTAAGTGAGCCACACATAGTCTGTGAGAGTCCTACCCCCTTGATTCACATTTTTCTTTGTTAATTGATTAATATTATACACCCAAGTATAAGTGGTCGAATTACAGTTTTCTCGATTTTAAGTCCAAGTATTGATATTTCGAATAGGACAGCATGTGATAGCTTGTGACGTGAGCTTAGATTAATAACTAGTTTAATTAAAAGGTTGGTTGTAGCTAAAAGGTTGGTTGCAGATAAATTGTTACAAGACAATAATATAAAAAGTATCATTCAGTTTAAGGATCTCATATGCATTATATTGGCCAAGTACTGGAAATGCTACCTTACAGCAATTAACTTCCATGTTATTGGCAAGTCAACCGGTAGGTCTGATGTATATAAACCATCACACAGCAACTTCTTAGGTTAGCTGGTAGTATCTATGACAATTGATTAAACCAAGCAAACCAGAAGGACAAGTCATTCATGTTGAATACTTGAATTATTCAATTGACTCCGTGATAGTAAGTTCATACATAATAAACCATAACTTAGCAACTTCTTAGGTTAGTTGGTGGTATTAAGTTATAACACAACAACTTCTTAGGTTAGCTAGTTATAGATGTGCCATTTGACTAATTCTAGTGAACCAAAAGGACAAGTCATTCACGAGGAATACTTGAATTATTCAATAGATCATTTGTGATATATATACCAGTTAAACATCCTCAGCGTTCTGGTGGAGGACTAGCCATACCGATAAGAATACAGTCGATATTCGATTGACAATATTATCATGTATACCAGTTAAACGATCTTAGTAATCCAGAAGGACAGGCCGTTCATGAGGATCACTTAGGTCATTAATCTGATAGTTATATATAGTAGTTAAACAACCCTAATAATCTAGAAGGACAAGCCATTCATGAGGATCATTTAGGTTTTGTACCATGCATCAGTAGAACATCCTTAGCGTTCCAGTGGAGGACAAGCCATACTGATAGGAACACCATAGATATATAACCGGCAGGTTCATGATGCACTGATGATATATTACCAGACACAACACCGAAATGACGTACATCATTATATCATGCATGAAGCGTATAATACATAAATAGATAAATGTATGAATAAAACATCAACATTTTCAGTAGTTAACCAATATTGTACATATGTTTACCTCTCACTGAAGGATATAAGTAACTACTCACGCCCTGTTGCTACAGACAAGCAAGGAGTGCGGGCAGTTTTCATTACAACTAAAATTAAAATACAGACTCTGAAACTTCTTTCACAAGGAACAATTGAAATACAACCAGCTTTATTATCAATCAAGACAAAAAGATGGCGGCAATTCAACTATCTGAATAGAAAGATACAACAGAAATGTATAAATATAGAGTTTCGACTAAAGTGTATGACGGACCGGATTGGATTACAATTTCTCTTTCTCTCTTTCTTTT